CACACACACACACACACACACACACATATATATATATATATATATGTGTGTGTGTGTGTTAATGTTAATGTTATATGTTATATGTTAATTTGTTATTTGCTTAAAGGATGCACAGAACAACATGTCATGTTTTTTTCTCAGGTCTGTCCCGGAGTCCACATCCCTCCTCATCTCTTCATTTCCCATCTTCCTCCTACTTCCCCCATGGAGCGATCCGTTATCCTCCTCATCTTGCCCAAGACCCTCTAAAGGATCTGGTTTCATTAGCCTGTGACCCTGCCAATCAAACCCCTAGCTCAGTGAGTACATCTAGTCAACACAAGCCAACACACTATTCCCTTTCTCCACTGCACCTCAAGCTAGTATTACATGTATGCTGCAAAAATAAGTACAAATGTTTTTGAAGACAGATATTTCTTGTGCAACCAATTCAATCACCATATTAGCAGTTCCTCCAGACCTGCAGCACTTTGTAACTATAGACAGGGCTGCACATAAGTGGTCCGCAGATGCACATGTGCTGTCAAAATAAAAGACGTGCGCCAGATAAGAAGTTGCAACGCGCGTTTGCGTACATAAGATTTTCTGGAGGAGGACAGACGTTTGTTTAGAACTCTTAAAGATGTCGAAGAAGCAAGCTCCTTTAAGCAATTACTTTGGTGTTCCTCCACCTCCAAAGAAATGTTAGAAGGAGTCGGAACCGCAACAAAAGCGCGTATTCTCTGAAAAGTGGTTGCAGGAGGTGAGCTGGCATTTGTTTGAAGCCAGAAAATCTTATGTACACAAATGCGCATTGCAACTTCTCATCTGGTGTGCATCTTTTATTTTGACAGCGCATGCGCACCTGCGGACCACTTATGCGCACCCCTGTCTATAGATGGAGAGTGACAATATCTCCACATGTATAAACATAAAAGTAAAAAAAGACACAAAGAGAATAAACAGGTTTGGATTCGAACTTTGATGCAGCAAGTACTTTTTTTTACATAAAAAAACCCCTGAATGTGGAGCAGTGAAGGTAGAAGCAAGTCAGAATATGTGTGCGTGAATTAGAGGGAGACAGGAGGAAAGGTGAACATGCAAGGTGTAGAAATATAGAAGGTTAGAAATGAGGACATCAGAAGGACAGCCAGAGAGGCTGAGATAGTTTGGACATTTGCAGAAGAGGGAGTGCGGATATATCAGACAGAGGATGATGATGAAGATGGAGCTGAGAGGCAGGAGGAAAAGAGGAAGACCTCAGAAGATTCATGGATGTAATAAAGGAGCACATGTAGAGGGCTTGTGTGACCAAGGAGGATGCTGGGATAGGGTGAGATGGACGCAGATGATCTGTTGTAGCGACCCGTAAAGGCAGCAACCAAAAGAAAGAGGAAATCGCATCTAATTTTTTATTCCACACTGGATATCCACAGTGCAATGTATAAATTAGACCACTTCCTGTGAGTTCCAGTCTCCACCCTAAGGAGAAAACCCTCAGGGGCATATGACATCACCTCTGTCCATAACACTAGCATATTTCATATTACTGTGGGTTTAATGCTTCTTTAATGAATAAAATTCATATTTCCAAAATATTCCAGCTGAATGGAAGTAACCAGGTCAAAGTGCCCAGTCACTACATCTCGTCACAAATGTTGGCACCCCCTGGACCTGCACCCTCTCTGGCGAGTCCCCCATCCTCCCTTTCTAGGCCGACCCTTCCTACAGAGTCAAAAGCTACTACCACGTCCTCTGATGCAGGAGCAAACTCCCCCACATCACCCAGTAAGTGGTCATAAATAATCTACTATATATACAGATAATATATACATATATATACAGTTTGTACAAAACATTTCAGTGAATACCGGTGAAAATGAGGCTTAGAGCATCAGTGACAAGTAGAGCAACTAATGATCTGTTCCATAAAATCAAATAACTTCCAGTATATCTTCAGTATCAAGCTGGTCAAATAAAAGTTATTAGTAAACGCTGCAAATTTGATTTTCCAAAGTATAAGCAAATATTAATATGCTGCCCAGAATAAAACAGTTCAGTGGAAGCTGCTGTGTACACTTCCATGTTCAATGCACGAGATTAGAATTTTCTCATATTTTGTCAAGTTTGTGATTTCTGACAGAAATCTGATGCCATACTGTTATTCAGATCAACTACATACATTAAAAGAGCAGGTGACCCATTTGTACTTTCTTGTAAAAAGAGGTATGAGAATAGACTGGCAGGGCCAGACGCAGGAGGTGGACTGATGTTAATACCTGATAAAGACAGTGTTGTTACAATGTCGTTGTTAGTTAGCAGTTAATTGAATATTTTGTTTACATTGCTGTTACCTTTCTGCTCATTTTTGTGTAAACATTTAAATGTGTGTCAGTTGTATTTCATATGCAGTGGACACTTAAAGCCCAGATCTAAGCTGGGCGACATTTGTGGAGTTTGGGGTTTTATTCCAACTTCCAACCTGCAATACAGACAGAATAAATATAATATATTTATAGAATATAGAGTAAAGAGGAGATGGGCAATACTCTGCCCAGTTCACATCAATTTCTCAGATAATTCTGAAGGGAAAGACGAACAATAAGCAAACTTAATTCAGCCAAATATTCTACAGTGAGCAGAGTTGTTGTTGTTAACCCTCAGCATACTCTGCCCCGGGGACCCCTCCAGCTAATCGATCATCCTTCGTGGGAGTCACCCCTCGAGACCCAGGTGGACTCTACCAAGCGCAGGTCAGTATGGTTTACTTCATTGTAAAAGTCGTTTCAGGAAGGATTAGATGACCCCAAACACCAGAAATTTAGAGATTTCACTGTTCAATATCTGGAAAATTCTGGTATTTTTAGTTCTGTGCCGTGTATTCCCAAATGGAAGTTTCAAAGGTTGAGTTGTAGCTGCTGCTGGCAAACGTCTCTCTAATACTGCACATGGAAGTTTTCAGTAGCAGTGTTTAGTTCAACATGATCAAGAAAGTCCTGGATTATACTTGTGTGTGAGAGGAACTCTGACTTTGTACATTTCTAAGCTGAGTCGTTGTATTTGTGTTTTAATTGTGTGTCTGTCTCCTTTCCAGTCTTGGTATTTGGGCAACTGAGGGAACTTTGGAGGAAACGTGATTGTCATGACAGTAAACTTCTGGGGGGGAAAAATCATGTTGTGAAGACATTTCCAGAGGAAAAATGTATTAACCTCTGGTCATACATATATATAAATATACGTTGCAATATATTTATATATGTGTAAAGAGACGTCCTGGATGGAAGAAGGATGCTGGGCTCTCTCAGCCGTTTTATATCCCCAGTATGAACTATGCTTTATGACATTACATGTTTGTCACAAATGGCATATTTTCAAAGAAAAGTAACGACTTAATGCAGAGGTTTCATTGGTCCAAATGAACTACAGACCAGAACCAGGCATCAACACATCAGATTCTCAGAAGCCTGAAACTTAACTGTGTCCCCAGGATGAGTCCTGTTTCCCTGGGATGGATGTCAGCCTTGACCCCTGTACCCTGGATCTCGACACTAAGTCAACTACAAGGCCTATATAGACCTCATCCCTCCCTCAACACTTAAAATGCCCCACTCTCCGCTGCAGGTGCTGCTTATAATATATGCAAATAAGCCTCCTTTAATTTCTGAACCAACCAGAAGAGGTTGTTAATATTTAATGTTTATTTGCACTTTTTAAGTATGTCATTGATACGTCTGAAGAAAATTACAAGCTGAATAGCGCAGTTTCTTTCACTCTTCCCAACAAAACACAGAGGCTTCATATTTTTTATTGACAATCATCCACCTGAAATTATTTAGTTGCTTTGCAAGGCTCATGTTTGTAAGACTGTTTGATTGTGCTCTTTGGTAGAAAACAACGAGTAATAGTGGAATATAAGAGCTATATTCATGCCTCCTCCTCCACAGCACACAATGCTACAGCTGAAAGCAAGTGTGGAGCAAGGCCCAGTTTTACTATGCCATGTTAGAGTGCATGAGTGGGCCATGACCTCAGTTCCAAACGTACAGTGTTTGACATTGACGTGACTTCCTCAGTAGAATTATCAAAAGGCAAACACATACCTGGATGATGTGGCAGCACAGCCAGCAGTACATTGGCTGCTGAATGTGGCTGAACTGTAGCCTGGTTGTGTAATGTAGTGTGCTTGTGTCTGTAGATGATTGTGTATGAGAATGTGATGGTTCCTGCATTTCCACACTCATTCCTGCTTTGAAGAGATGTCCTGTAGTTTCTGTTTGTCTCAAAATGACAGGATCTGTGTTTGTGTGTGGGTGGGTTAGAAAGAGATAAAGCAGGTGCTGCACTATGATTACAGTAAAATACGTTTCTTTCAAAAGTTACGATGTGGTATGTTGCCAAGCTGGAGGTTTAGCAGACTGTTTTTTGTTTTTGATGAAGTTGTTGATGCTGATGAGCATGTTATGCATATATGACTTGAACTGTGGACAAAATCTGGGTGTGTCGTCTAGCTGTAGAATAAGTGGTGGTCCCTGACAAGTTCTGCTCTGTGTAGTTCAACCCCAACCCAATCTGAACAACGTGTGATGGAACAGCAGCAGTAGGGTTTGATTTGGGACTGGGCTGGGCGACACAGGTGAACAGAAGAACGGTGCTAGAGTTGTTTTCCAGTTTGAAGTGCCAACATCAACAAATTAAGCATTTTAAGGTAGGTCGAGCCCTTGGTTTTCTGTGTAAATGTTGATATAGAGTTTGCATTATTGCTTGCGAGGCAAAGCAGTGTTCTGTTATCGCTGATGTTTCACAGCTTCAGTTATCAAATACATTTCTATAGTGGTCTACTGAAAGGCTTGCAAGCTACATTTTAACATTGACTGAAATCTTCAGAAACATTTAAAAAGGTGAAAAAACATAACGATGAAAGAAGGAATAAAATGAGGATCAGATTCTTGAATGCACCTTAAACATCATCAGTTCTGGCAAATAAAATTCATTGTAAACTCTAAAAGAAACAGTAGTAGACATGTGCACCATGGCCCTTTGATAAATCTTACACAATGTCATTTGTGTAAGATAATGTTACATGTTGACAATGTCAAGATTTTTAAGAAGTAATACATTATAGTCTGTGCCATAATTTATTTCTAAGAACTGGTGAGTCTAAAGCAGTCTCCTAAACACTTGTTATTTTTCCGTGGATGTAACGATGTAAAAATGTGTTTTTTGATAGTGCAATCTGATTGGATACCACACGAGAAGAGTTTCCGAGTAACCTGTATTATTCACAGGAAATTTTCTGCTGGATTGTTTCTGCAGTCCGTCAGTTTTTTCCACTTGCTTTCTGTGCACAGAGAGTAAGAGAAAACTCCAGACATTGTTCCTTGGTGTAGTTGTTGTAGGCTGTTTCCATGACCCACATTTGTCTCCATCTCCCTGGAAACAAATATTCTTATTGGAAGAAAGTTTTTTTTTAAAGTGTCCCCACTACTGTGGTCTGACCAATGACAGTTTTCTTCAAGTCCTTTGCTTCAGCACCTTCAATGCGAAATAATAAAATGGATATTGGTTCAGAGAGCCATATAGTTTCAGCTTTAACTAGGAAACCCAATGCTCCCTAGGATGTAGGTCTGAACACTTTCTGTTCTCAGAAAAGAAAACAGAATCTTGCAGAGCTTTGTTTCCACATTCTATGGAAAACTCACCCGAGGACATTTTATCATTCAGCAGGACAATGATTCAATTCTATAATATTCACATAGCACCAGTTTAGTCTTTATATGGTAAGGTAAACATTATGATATAATACAGTGAGAAAAAGGGGAGGAGAAGTGCATGTGCCCCAGCAGCATTTAGCCATTTGAATTTGTCATGTGGCTCAACAGCAATAAAACTGGCTCAGTAGATAAAATAAATGTTTGCAGTGTGTTCTAATAATAGTCCGTAAGAGAAGCATATATAATGTAGGTACTGGTCCCAGTACAGAATCTAATGGAACTTCATGACTGACTTTTTTGCGTGAGGAAGTTTTGTTTACGTGATTAATTCTGAACCCCTAAGCTTGTGGTGCTGTGTATTTAAAAGGGTTTACACTCAGACCTGCTCAAGTTAAAGCAGAGGCTTTAAAGAGAATGTGCTGAAGTTCAACAGCTGAAGAAGATAGAAAATTGCTTCACTGGGCTTCCAGTGAACTGTTAGCAAAGCAGGTGGTATAGTCACTGGAAATATTGGACCCAGGATTTCCAGTGATATTTACAGTTTTGATCATGCAAGATACAGGAAGCAAACATCTGTGGGATCATGCAAACGCCTTGCACCAAAATGCACCAAGCAGCAGAAAAAGACAGCAGTTCACAGATATGGACAGGCTTCACGTGTGTGTTTGTACAGCAATTCGGACAAAAAACAGAAATTCCATTTTAACATTTTCCTTCTGTTTCTCCTGCCTCCTGTTGTCTTTACATTTATAAATGCTTGTGTGAGTTACTATGGGAATGGGCATGAATGATCAATTTCTAAGGAATCTTACTTGGACGTGTCCCCATATAATTTGAATCTTATATCTTGAAATTTGATTTGATCTTGTCTGTTTTCTGTCAGGCCACACCTAAAATGTACTTTACCTTGCACTAGAGCAGAGATGTCGGTGCATTTCCTTTTTCTTACCCACGGTTTGGGGGCTATAGCTAAGTTAATTTAGTGCCTACAAGGGATCAATGACATGGACAGAAAGTGTTGATATGAACTGGATTTTAGTTTAAGGTTCAGTTAAAGTTGTCTTAAAGCTGATGTATATTGCATGGTGCTGTCCTGGTCGCTGTGCTGACCTAACCAATGCATGGCTCAACTTGATAATACCTCTCCATCTCTGTCTTGCTCTTCCTCATCCTTCTTTTCCTCCCTCTGTTCTGCAGACTACATCAGAGGGAAGTGGTTGGAAGGCTATATGTTTCTTTGAATTTAATAATAGCTCTGTTGTTAAACTTTTGCACGATATTTCGTAAAACACATTATGTGCCTTGCCTTTAGTTAAAGAACAGTAATATTTTATGGAAACATGATCATATGTTTCACGGTACAAAAAAGCTGCATGTGTGATTACTCGACATTAACCAGTGTAGCAAGTGCACATCTTTTGGTTGTGGTGGTGCGCCACCTGAGATAGTAACTTACGGCTAAGCTCTATGAAAGCTTCCACTAGCTGTTTATCATCTACTCTGTTATCCTAAAGATAGAGCAATTTTTACAGTGTGAAAGGAAGTGTGTGAAACTTTGCGGAAATATGCTCTTTTTACTGTCGTATGAAGAAAACAACTTTGTTCCCTAAATAATATACATTTGGTTGCAATTAAGGTAGCTCAGCTGTTATATCATGACCTACTGAAAGTGTGAACTTGGTCTGTATGGCCCCAGTGACGCAGGCCTGGAGATCAGTTGACTACCATCTGGCAACTACACATGAGAAAAACGTGTCCTCGGCTACTCCGAGTGGTAGTGAAAAGTGCCACACAAACCGGAAATGGGCAACCTGTGCCGTCCAACTAAAAGTTTTGCCTTTTACAGCTGGTTGGCTGAAGCAGTGAGGCTTGACTTTTACTTTGAAGGCTAATGTCCTGTCTTTTCACTTTGCATAGCAAGTTTTGCTCTTGTGGGTGTAGTGTTTAGAGACAACTTGGCATCTTCCATGCAAACTACTGTGGCAGTCTGCTAGCATCTAAAGCAATCACAAGGAAGTTTTTGATGCAGCACCATCTGTGTGAGCAATTTCACCCAGCAACCACTCGCCATCTGGTTGGGAAATATTCATTTTTCACTGGAAGGTTCCCAGAAGTTGACAGGTCTCTAGGCTGGTGTGACTGAGGCCTAAGTGTGAGAACTGTAGACTGTGATCCAGCCTCCAAGTATATACACCTGCTGTCATATATATCATTTAGGTCCCATGCTTGATTTATTGCAACAAAAACACGTGAACACATGGAAAAGACTGCAGTTCCCAGTATTTTCCCAGTTCCTTTAGACTCTGTGGATTTTTCTGGTGTTATCTGAGATACTCAGGTGTTGCCTGCACTCATATAGCTGATTGGATTCAGTGGCTGTGCTGTTTAAGGCTGGCGTGTAGGCTGAGGTGTCTGTGGGCTAATGTAAGTGAACATTATTGGTGTTGCTATGTGTAAAGTCACATGCACACATTGGTTGATATTTGCTTAGATATGTGTTATATGAAAATGTGGACACCGTTGTGTTGTAGTAAAATGTTTTTTCTGGGCGTGGTTAAATATGGATGGAAGCTTTGATTTGAAAATACACTTTGCAGAGGCTAAAACATGGGTTGAGAAAGTCAAGTCTGGTGGTAAGTCCTGCCTAAATGTTCGCAATACAAACAAAAGCCATTTTCAGAGGCACTGCTCAGCTCTATCTACTTAACGTTTTATTGTCCCATGTTAGATGCATATAGACACATTTAAAGGTTCTTATTGCAGGGAAAAATCTTGTTGGGCTTTAGCTAGTATGGCCACGTATGGTTGCCATGTAATGGAAGCATGTTAAACATGTACAGGTTTAGATTTCAGGGCTTTGCAGCTTTATGACTGGTGATGAGAACACCGTCCAATTGCCTATATGATGACTTTGATCCTGTTACTCAGCATGTGATAAAAGGCCATAAATGACTTTGAGTTAACATTATTTTTACTCATCTTCGCTTTAGGTTATTTTTAGGTTTTCCTTGGGTTATTATTACTTTGCTTTAGAATTATAGTTTTAAACACAACAGTGTGTATAAAAATATATACAAAATGCACTTATTAGTTATCAAGATGTATAGAATGTTTAAATCATTTGTGGCTGTCTTATACAGTAAGTGGAAACCATGAAATGGGGAAAATTGTGTCTCTTAGAGAAAAATGTGGACAACAAAGCTGTTTGGTTTGGACGTCAACTGAAGTGAAATGACACAATGCACAACTGCTAAGACTTCACAATCTCCTAAATGTGTCATTGTGATAAAGAAATGTTGACAGTGTTGTCACATGTAGCAATGTTTTTGTAATACATAAATTATGTCCTGAAATATTGAAACTTTTTTATAGGATCGAGCTGTTTGAAATCATTGGGCTTGACTAATGAAATGCTTCTTCTTACTGTAGCACCACACTTATAAGAATATGGCCTTATTTTTGCAAGCGTCAATGAAGGTTGAGTCAACAGTTAAAAATATTTAGGTCAAGTACTTGTGTGCAGAAATGGTATACATAGAAAAACAAGGAATCATTTATCCAAATATTTTGGTGAAAATTAAACGAAATAGGGCTTAAAAAAGCATTCAGTCTTGGACTATACTGGTCCATCGCTGCTTCAAAAATAAAGGTCTTCACCACTGACACGTCATCCATAATAGGGCAAACACTGACAGAGAGAGAATGGCAGCAGCGTGACGCTCTAGCAAGTTAGAAAAGAGCAATATCTGGTCATTTTATTGCACATCAGTTGCACAAACACTTTTACCCGCTGAGGTATTAGTTTCTTCACACACAGACCTAAGACTTGTAGCAATACAGCAAGAACCCACCAATCCTGGTCAGGTGAACAACTTTAGCAAATCAGAGGATCCTCAGAGACCTCCTGATGGGAGTTCCATCAGAAATTATGAGCCAAAGTGGAAAGTGTAATTGTTGCTGCAAGATCATAGATCGAAGCTGAGTGGTAGAAGCTTTAATTCAGGGCTTTATATGGACTTTGATAGTGGCTGTGATTATAAACCTTAAGTAACATGTATTTTGGCTTGAATGATATCTAGTAACCTGACTATGGTGATATATCCAAAACTGTATGAAGACAGACTGTGTTGCTTGTACAGTTACCAAATCTTTATGTACTTTACTTAATGTTAAAACGATGAAGCAGAGTATTAACCTATGATGGGTCTGATTGCGGTTAAGTTGTGATGAGGCCCACTATTTGCAAACATGTTTTTTCTTCACGCGTATAGGAAATATAGAACTTGCTTTTAGATTTAGTTGCTTTAAAAGTTTCAAATACATTTTTAACAAACACTACAGCCAAAAATGCCCATGCAAAATGTGCAAGTGGTTTACAAAAAACTGTACAAGCTTTGTAGTTGTTCCTTCTCCTCCAGCTGACGACCACGATAGAAACTCACGCAAACCTTCACCCGTGGAAAGAATGTACGCACAGTTTACTGGCACGTGACTTAAAATCCACATTTTGGATGCAATGCTGTCAGGAAACAGTGTGAACTGTTGATGTGCGTCTTCATTTCTGTTTCCCACCAAACGAAAACCTGACAACAGGATGCCTAAGTAACACACTCACTCTGCTGAGTGGAAGACACATGCCCAGTACTGTTAAGGTGATAGCGTTTCAAGCTTGTGCAGCATGTTTACACAATGTTTGAAATAGAGGTCTATCATAATCATATCATCATATCATAAAATACTGAAATCAAGATCAAATTTATCAAGAATTACAGCTATTAATTAATCATAATTGGCATGTGATGTGTCTTGATATTATGATCTTTCTTTTTTAAAGAAAGCGACACACCAGTTCAGGCTCTCATGCAGACACTGTCCTCTTACCAAAAGTGTACAGACATGCAAACTCATCAAGTTCCTCGCTCTATTCAAATAAACCAGCAGGGCAGCAGCAACTGAAAAGTTCTACCAAAAACAATGTCAATAAGCAGTGCCTATCACTTTACTGTTGGAGGTATTTTGTAAGCTGTAGGTGTTGTTTTCAGACCCTACATGGTTTGGTGACAAACAGCGTTGCCCTCACCGGTGCAGGTCCTGAAGTAACAAGCCATACAACAAACCAAAGAGTTGAAGGAAATCTAGAGATAACACTGAGTGTGCATTTTGGGGGACACTAAAGTTCAGAGGTTTTGCAGTTTATGGTACTTCATGTTATGCTGTACTACGTTCGGGGCCTACAGCTGTGTTCTATTTTCAGCTTTTATAGGTCACGCGTGAAAAACATTATAAATGCAGCACAAATGTGATGCCACATTACAAACGGAGCATCTGTATCAGTTGATTTATCCACTGCAGTGTGCTGTCAGTGCATGGAGGTCTGTATTATCATTATTATGCAGTTATAATAATGTGTCAGTTGTAGTAATCAGCTCTATGATTTGCTTTCACCCACTGTCTACTATTTCCCCCTGCAAGCTAGTTCGCTTCACCGTGTTTTGTAAGACCCCACCCCCGCGGACACACACACAAACACACAGTGCAGTAAATACATGCATATTTATTTTGTGCCACAGATACAGACTGGCGTTAACTGAGCGTGGGGTTGACTTGGTTCCCTCTAGATTTTTTTGAAACTCTGTGGTTTAAAGACAAACAAGTGCTGTTTAGGCGGCCACTGTTATTATAGTTCAAATCCTGATAATCAATGTATGTGTCCATATATTTCATGTTACACTGCATCACACCAGAGTCCAAACTGCTCGATGATTGTGATTAGCAGGCCATGTTCAGTATTGTGAACAGCTGTTTCTGAGCAAACAGTCGTACTGCAGGTGGTACTTCTTATTTTTTAGTTTCACGGCTGCAGATGATCAGATGTTGAACTGTTTGCTGTATGAGGAACAAAGGGACTGCAGAGGGCTCTTTTCTATGAACTATCAATGATATTCAATGCTCTACCCTACTGCTGCTGTTTCCTGGAACAACTCCATTGATTTGGTGACTCCAATATGTGTTTCCTTTTTTTTGCTGTTACTTGAAATGCATGTTTGCTTTTTAATATTTTTAATGGCCTTTGAAAACCTTTCCTGTAATTCAGACTTACAGCAGGAAACCACACTTGGTTACTAAAAATGGGATTGTAGAGCTGCAGGTTTTCCTCTGACAGTGATGCCATATTGATTTGTTTGTGTAACTGAAAGTACATTGCTACTGCACAGTTTACTCCATGTGCTCAAGATAGTATGTAATGAATGAAAGTTTTTTTTCTCAGAGAATATTTGAATGCATATTTGAACATTTTTTTTCCATCTTAACTTTTCCAGATATTATATTAAAAAACTGCTTGCTTGCTTCCAGACATATATCCCTTACATCAGAGAAGGCATAGGCATTAAAACATGTCATCAGTTATTGCATGACTGCAATTCACATAGACTGTCGTCCTTTTCACATTAACTCTATTGTTGGAATTGAGTTAGCCATGTGATAACAACAACAAAATCTTTTTATCACTTAAAATGGGCATGCATGATGCACACTGAGGTACGCTGGTACCTAAAAATAACAACGCTGCAGTGAAGCAGAGAGCGGTCCCCTGTTACAGCGATATGGGAACGTCTCTGTGTTCATTATTGTGTACTTTGGTCACAGTTTTAACATCTGGATAGAGCTGAGTCCATTCCATTCCATATTGGAAAGCTGAAGTGCTGACATTAATCCTGACCTCGAGATTTACTGTGGAAAGGGCTGCTGCTTCAAGCAGAAAGTAGTTTCTTGGCAGCTTTACCGAGCCTTTTAAGTACTTTTTACTATGTGGATTTTTTGTTTTTTTGTTTGTTTTTCAGCTGAAATTATTGTCAGTCATATATTTTTGCATGGCATAAACTAAAGTCTCGCACTTACCGGTCTGATCCTCTTTGAATGTATAGTGTTTGCGTGAAAGCCATCTGAACCAGTGTTTATGACCTTATGTTATTCATCTGTTGTGGGGGATATTCAACCTTTAGAACCACATTTAGACATTGCTATTGACAGATTCTAATGAAGTCATTTCTGGAAATGAGTATGTTTCCCTATGCAAAAATATACCATTAATAAACATGCTATTCTAAAACTCAGCCAGCAGGCTCTGTGTTTGTTCATTCATTCATATCTGCTGTTATTATAATGAGAATGATTTATTAGTGGACCTCCAACAGACCTCCAAATGTGAAGATCTCTTTTGAAGAGAAATTTGAAATGATCATCCCATTTCCAAAAAAAGTGGTGACACTGTGTAAAGTGTAAATAAAACCATGCTACAAATTGCAGTTCTCGTAACACACTCTGCATTTACAATAGACTCTCAGATTTAGCCATTCTTATATTTTGCTTGTTCTTGTGTTATTGTATTTTTGCACACCTCTGTTGCTTGTGAAGCTTGCACACAAGAATTTCACTCACATGTACTGTACCAGTGTACCTCCACACGTGATGTGACAATAAAAGTAATTTGAGTTGATTTAGAGCATAAAACACACATCAAAGGAAGTAAAAAGGTTATTTTGGATGTCTGAGAACTGAGGAGAACCGTTGGTGGTAAATGGACTGGTTCTTTTCTACACTACAGGGAGTGCAGAATTATTAGGCAAATGAGTATTTTGTCCACATCATCCTCTTCATGCATGTTGTCTTACTCCAAGCTGTATAGGCTCGAAAGCCTACTACCAATTAAGCATATTAGGTGATGTGCATCTCTGTAATGAGAAGGGGTGTGGTCTAATGACATCAACACCCTATATCAGGTGTGCATAATTATTAGGCAACGTCCTTTCCTTTGGCAAAATGGGTCAAAAGAAGGACTTGACAGGCTCAGAAAAGTCAAAAATAGTGAGATATCTTGCAGAGGGATGCAGCAGTCTCAAAATTGCAAAGCTTCTGAAGCGTGATCATCGAACAATCAAGCGTTTCATTCAAAATAGTCAACAGGGTCGCAAGAAGCGTGTGGAAAAACCAAGGCGCAAAATAACTGCCCATGAACTGAGAAAAGTCAAGCGTGCAGCTGCCAAGATGCCACTTGCCACCAGTTTGGCCATATTTCAGAGCTGCAACATCACTGGAGTGCCCAAAAGCACAAGGTGTGCAATACTCAGAGACATGGCCAAGGTAAGAAAGGCTGAAAGACGACCACCACTGAACAAGACACACAAGCTGAAACGTCAAGACTGGGCCAAGAAATATCTCAAGACTGGTTTTTCTAAGGTTTTATGGACTGATGAAATGAGAGTGAGTCTTGATGGGCCAGATGGATGGGCCCGTGGCTGGATTGGTAAAGGGCAGAGAGCTCCAGTCCGACTCAGACGCCAGCAAGGTGGAGGTGGAGTACTGGTTTGGGCTGGTATCATCAAAGATGAGCTTGTGGGGCCTTTTCGGGTTGAGGATGGAGTCAAGCTCAACTCCCAGTCCTACTGCCAGTTTCTGGAAGACACCTTCTTCAAGCAGTGGTACAGGAAGAAGTCTGCATCCTTCAAGAAAAACATGATTTCCATGCAGGACAATGCTCCATCACACGCGTCCAAGTACTCCACAGCGTGGCTGGCAAGAAAGGGTATAAAAGAAGAAAAACTAATGACATGGCCTCCTTGTTCACCTGATCTGAACCCCATTGAGAACCTGTGGTCCATCATCAAATGTGAGATTTACAAGGAGGGAAAACAGTACACCTCTCTGAACAGTGTCTGGGAGGCTGTGGTTGCTGCTGCACGCAATGTTGATGGTGAACAGATCAAAACACTGACAGAATCCATGGATGGCAGGCTTTTGAGTGTCCTTGCAAAGAAAGGTGGCTATATTGGTCGCTGATTTGTTTTTGTTTTGTTTTTGAATGTCAGAAATGTATATTTGTGAATGTGGAGATGTTATATTGGTTTCACTGGTAAAAATAAATAATTGAAATGGGTATATATTTGTTTTTTGTTAAGTTGCCTAATAATTATGCACAGTAATAGTCACCTGCACACACAGATATCCCCCTAAAATAGCTAAAACTAAAAACAAACTAAAAACTACTTCCAAAAACATTCAGCTTTGATATTAATGAGTTTTTTGGGTTCATTGAGAACATGGTTGTTGTTCAATAATAAAATTATTCCTCAAAAATAAAACTTGCCTAATAATTCTGCACTCCCTGTATATCCACAAAAGAGCGTTTTAAGCCTAATCTTAAAAGCAGATCGTGTCTGTCTCCTGAACGCAAACTGGGAGATGGTTCCATAGAAGAGGGCACTGAAAACTGAAGGCTCTCCCTCCCATTCTACTTTTAAACACTCTTGGAATGACAAGTAAGTCTGAGAGCTGTATTGGAGTCCTTACCATACTACAAGGTCTTTAAGACAAAACAGGGCCTGATTATTCAAGATTCTTCAAGATTACTCAAGTTAGGACTTACCTACCTGAAAGCAATTTCTATCATTATAGCATATGGCTTTTTAAAACTAAACTAAATGAAATGTATCACACTATCACCGTGTGGGTCGCTGTGTGCTGTTTCCACTGTGGCCAGCAGGTGTCGGTGTCGGTACCAGGCTTCATGTCTGCCGTCCACCATTAAAGCGTAGAACAACAAAAGGACCATATGTTCCGTTTGTACGGTTGGCGCCTGAAAAGCGCCAAATTGAAAGATACCAAACACTACTGATCCAGCTGACTGATGAAAACCAGCATCACTCAGAACTAGTCTGATATACGAACCTTTAACGTTGATCGATGTTCTAACTCGTCACAGCGGCACCGCAGGGAAAGACGGTTTTTGTCATGGAGGAGCTCTTCAACAAAGTGTTGCAGGTTAATGTCAGATGCAGGGACTGCGAGGAAAGGTAAGCCTGTGCACACGGACACGGACGCACTATTTAAACAGCTTGGTTTGAAGTTACACCTGACGAGAAGAATAACTACGGTTATTCTGCTGGCACACACGAAACCTCCCCATCCTGACTGCGGCAAACAGCTGTCGGTCCAATCCAACCGGGGAAAACAAACAAACGTGTTGCACAGACTAATGCAAAGCACGTTAATATTAATCAAATGAATGATAACCCAAAGCGTACTGCAAATCCAAGAGTTTCTCAAGGCAAAGAAATGGGATATTCTTGAATGGTAAAGTTAGTCGGCTGTTCTCAACCCAGCAGCATGTTTTTCAGTTACAGAAGACAACGCTGAGAGATTCAGAGACAAACAGCTGGAGGTCTGGCAGAGCATCTCAAGGCAGCATGTAGTGATGTCCGTGGGTTTGACTTTAGCTTGTCTAATTATGTTTGAGCCTCTGAAAACGGCAGTCTATGTATGCAAACTGCTGTGTGTCCTAAGCAGTTTCTGCAGGTAAACCCCTGAATTAAAGCTAAATGTCTTCACTTTAGGTGCATCTGGATTGTTTGATTTAAAATCCACCCTGGTGGGTTACAGAGACAAAATCACAAAAATTTGTCTTTGTCAGAATTCTTGTAATGTAAATATACACAATAATGGAAACGGAGTAGAACTTTTTTTGTGCATTTTGGGTTTTGGTAACCATTCAAAATTCTTTTACTGTACAAGTGTGCAAGTGTGCTTCACATAAACAAACAGTTGTGAGAGAACACATCTGTATATTGAACCAGATGGTGCTCTGACAGCAATGTTCACTGCAGCAGTACCAGCGAAGTTCTGATGGTAAATTAGACACAGGAAAAGATTACTGGCATAGATGAAAATGAAGGGCGGACACTTAGTGCTAACAGCACAGTGTTTTAATATTTTGGCATACTGAAAGGTAAAGGCAGGTGACATGCTAATGTTGTTAGCAGCCTTCATAAGTTACTTACATAAGGGTAAGTGAGCCTTTGTGAATGCTGCATGGAAAGCATTGCAGAATCAGAAGCAAGTGTTAGTGTATTTTGCAAACATTAATCGGAAAATGAAACCTTTTCATATTCCTGTCTTTATTCTGTTCGTGGATTTTTGAAATGAGCTGAACACTGAAATACAAGTTCACATAGGACTTATTGAGTCACCAAACATAATGTTTAATTGCTTCATTTTACAGAAAAGCAAATATTCGTGTCACAATTGAACTTCAGCTGACAACAAGTCCAGTGCACAAAAGAGTGAGTGGGACGTTTTATCGTTTTAAAATAAAGAGAGAACTATACTATATACTACACTACACTTACATTATATCATTTAACATTTCCTGTTCTTTACATATTACATCAGGATCTTCTAGTACGGATAACAGATGATATAGATCCATATTTTCTCTTCAACCTTGCAATATCAGAAGAGGATTTCCAAAGGTAAGTGTAAAAAGATTTGTATGAAGTAGTGTGTTGTGTTAGAGTTAAGGGACAAAGCATCTTCAATATTAACTAATGTCATTTGTGTTTGAATTGTTGTGTAGCTTGAAAGTCCAACAGGGTCTACTGATCGATTTTGCATCATTTCCTCAGAAGTTTATTGACCTGCTTAACCTGTGCATTTCCGAACAAACGTCAGACAGTCCAAGGTATGAAGAAAACCGACACATGACATCACACTGTTTGAATAAGCTAAGCAAATATATGCCATAAATGTATTTTTGTTGTTGTTGTTGTTTTGGGGGGGGGGTGTTGGTTTTATTTTACTTATCTATATATAAATTTTTTTTCTGTAATAATATCTGAATGATCTACCTGGGAGAGTATGTATAACTATATCTATGTGTTTTCCCCAACACTGTTCATACACGATGTACATACACTACTATTATACACTCAATTTTTTAAAGAAATTAGTTCAAATAAAATAGAGGAGGAAATGATCTCTTCCTATTGGTTAAAATGTTGTTGGAAAAGCAATAAATAAATCTTTGAGAAAAAAATTAATGCATTTTATCAGCCAGTGTCATCCCGTCTCAAGTGACGCTGTGATAAAAGTAGACACGAATCTGCCTTGGAATTTGAAATTGGTGAACGATAAAGTTGCTTGTTGCACGTCCCTATGCTCATCATTAAGTATCACTGGAATATTTAAAAACATTACAAATATGTCCTACTGACTTAGTAATTTGAAAGATATAAATTAAAACCTTTTGCACAGACTAACTGTTGTCCTTTCCACAGATTTC